CGAAAATAGGGGGAGGCGCCAGCCAACGCCCCCGGCTCCCGCCCCCACCCGGCGAGTCAACGTTCCGTGTGACGTCACCAACAGCGCTTACGGGGGACTTCGGTGGTTAGAACATACCATTTTTCGACCAGAGGGGAGGGCGAAACACGCAGGATAGCCATTTAACCCGGTGTTTTCTTCTCTATCTGTCCCCACGCGTAGAAATTGCCATTTTAACCTGGCGCTGCCTTTTCCCTTCCCAGGAGCGCCAAATGCCTTCCAACCCGTCGAGATGAGGAAGCCAGGGGAAAGAAATGATTTGGTTCCTTCTCTCTCCCCCCCCCCCCGCCCTCGTCTTATAGTCTTGGAAACCGCGCTTGCGTCAATACCGGCAAGAGGGTGGGGTGCGAGGGAGTTTGACTGTACTTCTGCCGCTCGTGTTCCCGTTCTCGGCTATTCGCGGCGCTTTCGGTGGGCTTCTCCTAGGCTGGCCTCTCTCTGCCAGCTCAGCAGGCAGCCGAAGCTCTTTTCCCAATCCGCGGCCTCTGAGAGGCGAGAGGAAGCCGGCATTTGGCCCAGGTTAGCTTTAGAACCGCTCCCGGTGCGGAGCTTTTGTCATTTGATTTGATTCTGTTCCTCGCGTGCCGTAGCGTTACTATGTATCCAGGCTCTCTGAGGTCCTTCTGTTCAGCCCTGTCTAACCTCTGCTGCACTCCTTCTTCCGCCTCTACCTCGACGATGCTGCTCCGCTCGCCGGCTCCAGTGAGGAGAGCCCTCTCGCCGCCTGCCCTCCTCGCCTCTTCCTCGGCTACCGCCGGCGTTCCGCGCTGCTGCAGTTGTCCTGCCCCGGGCACTTCGGGAGCTGCAAATCCCCAGGCTGGTGAGTGGTTTTAGAACCTTCGGGGCTGAAGGTTCCATGGATGGAACGTTGGGGTTCGAGGGTTTTAATTCTGTGCCCCCACGCTGCCCCCCCCTCCACCCTGAGAAGCCAAGGAGGAAGTCGCAAGGGTTGGGCAAGAAAGATGATGATGTCCCGTTTGATGGGTGGCATTGGAGGCTGAGATAGAAAGGGTTTGCACACAGTCCTCGATGTACGACAGTTCGTTTAGTGGCCATTCAAAGGTACAGGGGCCCTGCAAAAAGGGGACTCATGACCGTTTTTGACAATTACAACCATTGCAGCATCCTAATGGCCACGTGATCAAAATTGAGGCACTTGGCCACTGACTCATGTTTATGACGGTTTGCAGGGTCATCTCTGGGTCATGTGATCACCTTTTGCAACCTTCTGACAAGCAAAGCCAATGGGAAAACCAGACTCACTTAATAACTGCCAGATTCACTTAGCAACTGTGGCAAGAAAAGTCGTAAAATGGGGCAAAACTCAACAAATGTCTCACTTAGCAACATACATTTTGGGCACAATTGTGGTTGTAAATTGAGAATTACCTGTAATCCTAAATTGTGATGGGAAGCCGGGTTTCCAAGATCTTGCCATTACACCAACATTTGGGATGATTGCTTTTGGTTGATCTGGAAAATGCCTTCTTTGCTTCTAGCTACCAGATGACACTGTGCTGGATCCAAAGTGGCTAGTTGAAAATGGATGTATAAGTAGTCCTCAACTTACAACAGTTCATTTAGTGACCATTTGAAATTACATCATTGAAAAAAGTCACTTATGACCAGTTTTGCACTTACAACCATTGCAGCATCTCCATTCATCAAAATTCAGGTTCTTGGCAACTGACTCATATTTATGACAGTTGCAGTGTGCATAAAAGTGCAGGCCACATGATTGCATTTTGTAATCTGACAAGCAAAGCCAGAGGGGAAATCAGATTCACTTAACAACTGTTTTAGTAACTTAACAATTGCAGTGGATCATTTAACAACTGGGCAAGAAAGGTCATAAAATGGAGCAAAATTCACTTAATAAATACTTCACCTAGCAACAGAAATTTTGAGCTCAATAGTGGTCATAAGTCAAGGACCAGCTGTATAAATGAGCCATCTGGACCCAATAAAAATGGAGAGCCATGAGATATATAGTTTGGTTGCTAGTGTAATTAAAAGCTGCTTTGCCCAGCTAGGAAAGACAAATAAAAAAAGTCAATGAATGACGTGCATTAGGTATCCAGTATCATTTGTTCTTTCAAGCGTCACTGTTTTCTTTCAAAGAAAAGATTTGACTTTCTTAATTATTTCTATGAACAGTTCCTGGGATTTAAAATTATATATGTAAGAGCCTTGTCTTCTAATTATGCTAAAGTTTCTTTTAACTGCCTAATAGGTATTATATGAGGGATAAATGGGCAAGGCCATAGCATAGCATGTATTACTGTTCTATGTGTTTTTTTAGATAAAACTGTTTTGTCTATATATAATACACTGATAAATTATGTTTCCCTGTTTATTGTAGTTTGTCAGCTGAGAAATTATAGCCTTCTTATAAAAATGATGATTCCTGTTTTTGAGTCTAGCAATTTGACTTACCTTGAAAGTCACCAAATCACAAAAGATGGGTTCACGGATTGTGCATAGACATAATGTGGTTTATTTAGCTTTTATGTAAGATACCATATTAATCTAACTATTATAAACCATGATTTATGGCTCAGTATAATATGTTTATCAAACCAATTATAATATGCTTAGTAAACAATGATTAGGGCTTGCACTTACTTTAGTACAATACATAAAATAGCAATTATATGACCTTTTCTTTAAAAATGATATAACTATGTTCTGTGGTTACTCATTAAGTCCAGTGGAAATCCTTTTAGACCTTATCTGCATTTCTTGCTCATTCTTGTAGTTCAATTGCCATCTGTATAAAAGATTAGGCAGCATTAGTTTATCTAGCTCACTAGTTTTTTCTGCTTCAAGAACTTAATGTAAACATGATAACACAGTTGAAATGGCACATACAGAATTCACTGCCAGCTGTTATCAGCTTCTGACTTGTTTGTCCAGCTCAGTCTTGCCCAGCCTAGCATCTTCCAGATTTATTGGGCTATTTTCTGCCCAGGAATTGCTGCATTCTAGGATAACTCAAGGGTATAGGTTATGAGAAGCAAGGCTATTTACTAATTTCTGTACTTCCTTGACTTAAAGCAGAGGGCGTATGCCTTATTCCTGGTTGAGGGCCAAACCCAACTTTTGGGTGCTGTGAGTCACCCTCCAAATAGTAGTTGGGACAAGGATAAAAACTAGTTTTGATTTCATATTACAATTATAATTAATATTATAACTCTCCAATCACTTATTTAATATTTAGCTATCCATCTAACCATTAAAGTAGTTGTTTCAGGTTTGGAACAGTTGTTTCACATTGATACTTTAAAAGTATTTGGATGTTCAAACCACATTTGAATCTATTTTGAAACATTGTATACCTAAAAATATTACAAACAACCTCACAAATCATGTGTGTGTGGGGGGGGGGAAACTGAACTTATTTTTAACACTTACAGGGTGTCTACTCAGAAGTAATGTCACTATTTCAGCTCTTTCAGGATTGTTGCTATGTGAACACACACACACACACACACACACACCACATATATATATATATATATGAAAATTAAAAGAAAGTGACAGTAAGCAAGATGAGGAAACAAACTGTCTAAGATCTTTCTCTGCCAAAAAGAAATCCTTGAGGCCACAGGACCCTGGTTTAACATAATGTGCATAATCTTTGGTCACTGTCTTGCCATCCATGCTCAAATGGCAAGATAATAAATTATTTTCAAGAATTTGTCTTATCCATAAAATGATATAAAAGGGAAGAAACCTTGCTGCAGCCCTGATACTTTTATCCACAGGACCATTCCATTTCTTGGAATCCTTCTCAAATATGTGATTACAGAATGCTTCAAAACATTTTTTATCTCCTAATTTGATTTGACTGAGTTCATCACAATGTATCCTTATGTTGTCAAAAGTCTTGTCCAGAATAACAAAATCCATGCTTAACAGAAAATATCCCAATCTTTGACCTCTCTAGTTTAGCAAAGATCAAATACAGAGTATTTGATTCTCTGTCTGAATCCTGGAAATTAACTTCAAACAATATTGGACTAGGTAGATAAATATCCTCAGCTTTTAGCAGCTTTTTAAATATGGTGACTCATCTAGAAAATTTCTAATTTAATATTTTGAGATGAGTTTTCCATTGTTCAATACTGTAGGGCAGACAAGCCAACACATGAACATTATGCAGAACAAGGTATCCTGTTAGATACCTAGCACATGAAGTTTACATATAAAATGGTAAATTTTCTGTATCTTTAGGTATATCTTTGTTTACTTGAAACCAGAGATATTAAAGAGCTTACATCTGTTACATCAGCATGTTACAATCACCACAATCGCCCAATTATTGATTGGTGACATTCTAATCCAAAGCAAGGTTCATTGAGCTTATGTTCTGAATACAAATTGCTAGAATTGCCCTGTGTAGAGGGGCCCAGTGATTGCTGGCAGGGTCTGGCTGGATATTAATTTTTATGCGTTTAACAATCCAGTACCATTGCATAAGCACTGTTGAGTAACTTGCTGTAACTTAGATAGGCACAATTAAGCAACCTTCTTATTCTGCTGGAAGCAGCAATATTCCACTGCATCAAGGTTAGACAGAAGCAGCTGGTTGGACTTTCATACCATTATTTCCTAAGCTCTGCATATTTTAAACTTTTGTTGAAGATTTACAGCTCAATATAAAAAATGAAGTGCAAACTACTGTCAAATTACATCTGAAAGTATAGGCTGTTAAGTTACAACAGTAAAAATATTTAATAAGGGAACGAAGCATCATATTTAAGAGAAATGTTTTTTAACTAAGATATCTAGAATTTCAAGAATATACCTTTGTTAGATGTTTGCTGCTGTCTGGTCCATCAGAGAATGTGCATATTTTTAGAGTAAGAGCTGAGTTCCATGTTAAGATTTTGCTGCTGCATACTGTTGCAATGCAGCTGTAGGAGTTTAAGAATTGATATCATTCTGCTTTGGACTAAATTGGTTCAGATTGTTCACAAAGGAATGGGAGAAGAACAGCTTAACAATAGGTTAAAATAGCTATGAAGCATGAACCATCTTTTCTAGCTAAGATTTGTCTTTGAAATAACTGCAGGCATGTGTTGAATAAGGCTTTTAAGGTGTACCCAACACTAAATAATATTAAATATGCAGGTAAACTTGGAAAGTTTTCTGTTATATATATCATATGCAACTATCAATTACATGGGGAAGGAGAAAGTTCTTGCTCATATTTATGAAAAATACATGTTAAATGACTTAACCATTCTTTGAAGGTTCTGTGCAATAAAGTACAATGGTAAAATTGTTTCAGGACCAGAAAACTTCACAAAGATTTCGCACCACTATGAATTTTGATCAACAAAACTGTTGTAGCTTTTGAAATAATTTACAATAGATTGACCTTTCCCTGGGAAAACAGTAAAAAATTTAATAAGTAAAGTATAAATGTACAATGTATACTCCTTGAGTTGCATGTTCACTGGCATTTCTCTACTGCCCTACTAAAAATGGCTCTGAGCAGCGCTTACATTTATAGATGTGTGTTAATCCAAAAAAGTGTATTTAATTTAACTTAGAAAGTATAATTGTGATGAACCAAAGTGCACAAATAAACTGAAATCCAATTCAGATTTGTGATTTAATTCAGAATCAATTTGATTCAAATGTATGACTTGATTTAAAAGGTAATTTGAGTTGAATTGGTGATTCATCACTGCTAAAATAAAATCACCACAAGTCCATTGAATCCAGCAAATTGATTCAGCACTGTATGTTTATTTCACAATTAGAATGAAGATACAATTTGAAGGGTGGTTTTAATTTTAATGCCTTTCAACAAAATCAAAGCTGCATACAGCTATAATCATGACTTGGAGGAATCTTAAATCTAGGAAACTTATCAGAACATTTCAATTTTTTTCAGAATAAAACCAATCAATTTTGTAGGTCACCTGCCCTTCAATGTGAGATTTATAATCTAAAACTGGGTTGCTCAAGAGGTATCATTATTTTTAATTTAACTTGTCATGATAGGATTTTAAGCTCTTGAAAGAGGTGGAAAGAAATAACATTTTTAAGCATTCCCTTTGTTCCTAGTCCAATTAAAACCATTTCATATTTTTTAAATGGATGTAGTTACCTCAGGACATGCTTCAAAGCACACATTCCTCTTCTGGGTGTGTTGTTGTTCATGACTCACTTTCAATGTTATATATCATCTCAGCCAAGTCATGAAGAATATCTGAGAATTGAGAGAACACTGGTTAAAAAAAAAAAAGAATCAAATGTTAAACAGCATGATGGATACTGATTATATAAATGGACTCATTAAGGAATTTGCCTGAAAATTACACAAATCAAGAATATTTTGCTGCTTTTGGACAAAAAAACAAGCTAACTGATGGATTTTTCTGAAGAAAGGTTAATGCAGAGTCTAGCCAGTTATGATTCAGTTCACACATTGTGCTATTACGATTTATTTTTGTCCAGTCCTTGTGATTTTGAAAACATGAACTTTGTAAATCAACTGTGTTTTATCCAGTAAGCATGATAATGAAAATCATGCCTTGGTGTGATGTGTGATGAGATTTATATCTTCCATTAAAAAAGAAAAAGAGTGACACAGGATTAAAAAAGGAGTGAGCAATTTACTTCACCTAGTCCATTTATGAAGCTGAAATATCAAGGTGAAGGAGAACACTGAGAATCACTTTAGTGCAAATGCTGGCTGGAGAATTCTGGAAATTGAAGCCCACTTATTTTAAAAGTTGCCAAGCTAAAAAAAACCACTGCTTAGGTGAACAGGAACCCTATTCTCAGCTTAAGAGAAACAGCCGGTTCCAAGCAGTTCAGTCAGGTTGCAATAAAAGAGCAACAAATGATGAGGCATCACAAAAAGCAGGCATAAATTTAGTTTTTATTTGAGCTAATAGTGACAGTGGGTTTTATAAACAAAAAAAAAAAAAACCCAACCCTGTTTCAATAGAAGAAGTTATACAAAAAACCACTAGGTGTCTCTATGTAACAGTGGCATAGGAAAAGCTCACATGATTTTGGAGGCTGGCAATTCCGTGTGCAATTCTCCATTAGAGTTGTTTACCACTTGTGTTGATGTTTCCATCCAATTTATCAGGTAATTATTGTTTAATGTAACTAGCAACTTTCTAAAATATTGCCTTTTTGTTATTAGAAAGCCCACTTTTCAACAAAATGCAACTTGGATAACTATAGGTCTTAACTTTTCCTGCTTTGTGAATTATAAACTGTTGTTAGACTAAAATAGAATTACAAAGAGCAGTCCGAGGAAACAGGAAGATAATTAACTGTTAAAATCTTAATTCCCTATTTTAAAGGTAGTGGTAATGGTTATTTTGCAGCATTGAAAAGATTAATATAGGCTTTGCTATTACTAGGTATAAGCATATGGGGGGGTTACCTTTTGACACTGGAAATAATACAGATAGTTTCTTTTTAAAGTGCAAAGTAGCTTTTTGCTCACCCGCAGTGCCTAAGATGATGGTATTCAGATTAGCAGGGATAGGAAGGCGATTATATATTATAAAGAAAATTTAAATTACTATCTTACTAGTAGCTATTGAAAAGCCAGAGAACTGTGCACAATTTTATATTGCATTTTTTTCTGTTTTAAATGTGAGAAGTTTCTTTTAGCTTGCTCCCTAACTTAAAATTTATGAAACTCAGATCTCCTGTATTTTTGTTTTGTTTGGGGAGAGGGTGTTTGTTTGTTTTTGCAGAATATTGCCAATGTCGTGGGGGGGGGGGCTTTGTAAACCCAAGAATTTATTTACAGAACATTATAGGAACATCTTTTTAATCAATTTATGAAAGTAAGAAATAAAAGTGAATGAACTTTAGATTGATTTGTGATTATAACATGTATTTGCTGATTAATAAAACAGAATATTTATGATTTGGCTTTCTTGTGAGATTGGGAAGAAATAATGTTCCGTGTTCCACAAAGTGGCATATCAGAAATCTTGTAGGTTGGTTTGTTTAGCAAGAAGCAGTCTTACTAATTACTGTCTCAGGTATAATAGCGGCTACCGTTGGCATAACTAGCTGTGCTTGCTATACAACTTGGTACAAAATATTTGGAATGTGATAAGTCACCTTCAAATATCAGTCCCATAAATGAAAGAGCTGCAACTGGAAAAAGTTGCAGTTGTTAGCTACCATAATACAGGTTGATTCTAAGGGCTTGAAACTTTATTTATAGAGATCATAACAATGACTAAGTGAAATATCTTAAGAGGACAGTATAAAAAGAGGAACTTAGATTGCAAAATTTAAGAGGGGAATGCATATTGCATTAACTTCATATTGAAAAATATGCTGTCAGAAGTGCTTGCTTATATTATATAGCAGAACTCTTCACATTGGCTGCAAATTTTGAAAACTGAGGTTCGTTATAGCTGGAGGCTACCAGCACTGTAAGACTATCACATAGTATGTGAACTATAATGATGAATGCATTTGTTTTCATCTGAGATAAGTTAACAGATTAGAAATTGGAATTGATGTACTGAAGTTCTTTTCTCTTTCTTTTTCAGGGTATTCCATGGGCAACAGTACAAGTAGGCTGTATAGTGCACTGGCTAAGACTTTGAGCAGCAGTGTCATTACTAAGCACCAGGACTACTTGGAACAAACTGATCCTGAATTTCTGGATCCTATAGATCCCAAAGATCTACTTGAAGAATGCCAGATTGTTCTTCAGAACCGTCCAGCCCGGCTCCAAAGGGATTTTGTGGACTTGAGGACCAGCTTTGTCAGAAATCATCAGCCCATTAGAGTTATGCAATGGAATATACTTGCACAAGGTACAATCTTAACTGCGAAACTGTGTCTGAGCCTTGTAAAATGAAAAGTCTAGTAGGCTTTGTGTATGCTTTCATTCAGTTGACAGATCTTTTTATCCATTCCTTAAGTTAGCAGATTTGGTGAAACAATTTTTTAATCAAGATACCTCAAATCTACTAACATAAAAAATTCAGAACCCATTATACATGTGCAACTGGAATTTCTATGAAATTCAGACCAATTTTATTTTCAAAGTTCTGGTCATTGCAGCAAACCCATGTTCATGTAATACAGCAAACCCATGATCATGTAATACACTGTTGATATTTTTCTGAGGTGATAATGATACCTTATTTGTCATTGGAGATGAAAAAATATATATTGTCAGCCTAATTATGCCCTATGTCAAGAGGTGTGGGGTGGCATCAGCACTGCATTTCTCTTAGGATGGCCCAATGAGTCACAGATAGTTTAGTTAGGCTATAATTGTCAGAATTTTCAATTAGTATGACCAATCAAAAACATATAGCAATGGATGAGATATAATTAAGTTTGCTACCTAAGAGCCCCTTTCCTTATTCTCAGAGTACAAATGTGTCTTGAATGTCAACTTTTCAATATTTATTTTTTTAAATCAGAGAAAGTAATAATTTTATTATTATTTATTTTATCATATCACCAACAAAATGGTAGGGTCATCACTCAGAGCAAAGATTTAAAATATTGACAACTCACAAAAATAATAAACCTGGAATATATAAAGATTATCCAAATATGAAATATATTGCCAACTTAAGAAAGTATCTTAAAAATATTATTCTAAAAAGCAGAATGTAAAAAGTGGACAGACACCCTGATTTTAAAATAGCCAATAATATATAGTATATGAGGTGCTAGGAACCAGAAAGACACCATGAGCTGTTCATAGTAGTTGTTATTTGCCTATTTACAAGAATCTCACCAGACTTCACTCTCTTGAAAACAACCAGATAAAGGCTCCAGGGATTTTAAGTGAGAGATCAAGTCTCCTTCACTCCTTCCTCTGCAGGGATTCCAAGCTAGCCGGTCTCTTAACTCCACCCCCACCCACTCTTGTTGTAGATTCCACCACATATTCTGACTGATGTATATTTTCACCTTAGATTATTCCTTATGTATAAACTAAATTGCTGTTTGTTAAACTTTTTGTTGATATGAAATCCAGTGGAGTTGTCACCTTGAATTTTTTTCTTGGATAATGTGAAATGTACCATCAAAAAGCATATCTTTTTAATTATGTTTGAAAGTATAAATCAAATAACATTTATTCCCAAAATGAACATTGCAATGTAGTAGTTTTACTCTGGGTCAGCATACAAATTTCAATCTCAAGGTTTAGAAATATACAAACATAGTTTAAGATATTAAAATAAAAAGGGTGCATAAATAGGGAAGAATTATCATTAGGTTCTATTTTGAATTTACTATTCAGATTGGAATTGCAAGAATACTGTCTAGCTAGATTCTGAATAAAACTATTAGTCGAAGTATGTCACTCATGAATAGATTTAAGCAAGGAAGATTCATTTTGTCATGTAGCTCTCTTGTACTAGATGACTGAAAATATACCAATTGTTTCAGTTTCCTACAAAGTTCCACTTAAGAGTATGGATTGGACTATTTGTGTTTACATATTTTATGGGAAGGAAAATATTTCCTAGAGGAAGTTTTCTTAATTGATATATTTTCTTGATTCCAGCTCTTGGGGAAGGCAAGGACAACTTTATCCAATGCCCCATGGAAGCCTTGAGATGGGAAGAAAGGAAGTGCCTCATTCTAGAAGAGATCCTTGCTTACCAGCCAGATATCCTCTGTCTACAGGAAGTGGATCACTATTTTGATACTTTTCAGCCATTACTCAGTCGGCTAGGCTACCAATGTGCTTTTCTTCCTAAGCCATGCTCTCCATGTTTAGGTGTGGAATGTAACAATGGCCCAGATGGCTGTGCCTTGTTCTTCCTTAAGGACAGGTTTACGCTAATTAATAACACCAACATCAGGTTGACAGCAATGAAGTTCAAGACCAATCAAGTGGCTATAGTTCAGACCCTGAAATGTAACGAGACTGGGAAATTATTCTGTGTTGCTGTCACCCACTTGAAAGCTCGCAATGGCTGGGAGACGTTTCGATCTGCTCAAGGTGCTGATCTTCTTGAAAATCTAAAACAGATCACCCAGGATGCAGAGATCCCTCTTATAGTCTGTGGTGATTTCAATGCTGAGCCTACAGAAGAAGTATACAAGCAATTCGCTGAATCTAGTCTGAACCTAAACAGTGCTTATAAACTTCTGAGTACAAATGGGCTAACAGAGCCTCCATACACCACATGGAAGATCCGTCCTTCTGGAGAATGCAGGCATACCCTTGATTACATCTGGTATTCACAACAGACTTTAAAAGTAGATGGTGCCCTCAGCCTTCTAACTGAGGAGCAAATTGGACCCAATAGGCTACCATCTTTCAATTACCCTTCAGACCATCTATCTCTAGTATGTGATTTCACCTTTAATGAAAATCCAGAGAAGTTTTTAAGATTAAGTGAAATATAAAGTGGTGGAGGTGGGTTATCTTTTCATGTACTGTGTTTGTGCAGGCACAGACTTTTACCACGGACTTCTAAAGACTTCTGGGGATGGGATGGGAAAAATATTTATGAATGGAGAATTAATAATCTACTACTAGAGCCTTGACTTGTTTTTCTTATTAACTGTGCTATGATAAAAAACACAAAAATATGCCTGACTAACTGCTTATGCTGTTTTTCTTTTCTGAAGAAAAGTACTGCTGTTATTCAGTTCTAATTGTAACAAGGTTCTTTTCCTCCCATATTTAAGATCTTGTGTTGTAAATGAAACAATTGCACTGCATGTAACAGCATTGTCCTGTCTGTCAAGAATCGGTCAGATGAATGCCCAGGATTCGTCCCTCCAGCATTGGACGATATGACCAAATTTTGTTCAGCATAAAGTTTAATATGAGCCTCAGTTAATTTTTTTTCTGAGGTTGTCTTGAATGGTGCCTTCTACTTGAATAAATTTAGTGTTAATCTCGAACCTGCATATTGCTTTTGATGATATTTCAAAGAGTATTAGAATTTCTACAGTCATTCACCCACATGGAAAGTAATACAGGTAGACCTCGACTTACGACCACAATTGAGCCCTTAATTTCTGTTGCTAAGTGAGACATTTGAGATTTCTGCCATGTTATAACCTTACTTGCTACAGTTGTTAAGTGAATCACTGCAGATGTTAAGTTAGTAACAGGATTGTTAAGAGAATTCAGCTTCCCCATTGATTTTATCAGGTCACAAAAGGTGATCACATGACTCCCCCGCAAGGAAGGTCCCCCACTGCAGCCATCATAAATATGAGTCAATTGCCAAGCATCCGAATTTTGATCACATGACCATGAGGGTGCTAAATTGATCATGAAAAATAGTCCTACGTCTTATTTTTCAGGGCTGTTGTAACTTTCACTAAACAAATGTTGTAACTCAAGGACTACCTGTAGTGTTATGCCAAGAAGCATTTCTTTGTTCTTACTTCTACCTAGCTATAGAATGAGTACTTTGGTGGTCTTGCTATCTAAAGCTGAGATTTTACTTCCTAGTCTCACAGGATGTTTTAAGACATCTTCTTGTATCTGCATTCTTCCTTCATTGGGGCTGTAGGCAAAGCCTTCTCTACTGCCTCTCCAAACAGCTACTTCCCGGAAAAGCTGTTGTGATATTGTGACAGATGGACCATCTTCAAATGTGTGAATCACAGGCCATGTATATGCAGACAACAGGTTGTCCCTACGATGTCTGACCAAGGTTTCCTGCTACAGTTAGTTTATGAATTTGTTCTCTTAGGTACCTGACTTCTACAGAGATTTGTCCACACAGCCAAGTTTTGGTAAGGATAAGGAGCCCCAATTCCCAGTGTAGATGTCATGGAATCTCTTTAGTATCCTGTCCCATCCTGCATCACTTCTTCAATTTCTTTAGGTTTAATCCCACCCATTTCCCTTTTAACTATTTCAGCCAAGAGCTCCTGGAAATGGGACTCTGCATCTCAGGGCTCTGTAAAGATACTAGCTGCTAAATCATGACCAAACACTAAATAGGGTGATAATTTGAAGCTTTCATCCACTTTTTGTCTTCAACTCTATACTCAATACTTCAACTCTAGCCCACCGCATAGTTGGCTGGAGAATTATGAGAGTTGAAGTCCACAAGAATAAACCTGCCAAGTTTGGAGAGCCCTGGTCTAGCCTATCAAGATAGAGACAAAAAGGTTCTAACTGGCATTCAAGCCTTCTATATTGGGCTCAAAGCTGGTACCACTCCTTATTTCCATGTTCCATCAACTCTGGAGTCCTGATCGACCCATCTCCTAAGCTGTTTTTGCAGGCCAAATAAGCCTGTTGCTTACAGCTTCCTATTGGTTTGCTGTGCTGGAATGATTTTTCACATTGCCAGGATAGCACTGACCTTTAGTTCCCAAAATGGAGCTCATAGAAAGTGGATGTTTTGTCTACAAGACAGAGCATCAACACTGGAGCAAATCCTCCATGGGATAAGAGAATATGTAATCATTGTCTTGCTGCCTGAAAAGATGGAACCGACTCTGTCCACAGTAACTAAGAGTGCTTACATAATTTGTAGAACTCTTATCCACGACACTAGCACAATTTAAGTGATGTCATCCTTATTTGAATATAGGCCATATTTTCCCTTCAAGGAGTATTTTTATAAGACATAATTCCAATTACAACAGCAAGTTCTTCCAAGGAATATATAACAATTCCAGAAAAATGCCTTGCAGTATGACAGATATTTGCTATTAAAAGAAGATAAAATGGAAACCACTAGAAGTGAAGACATTTTTACAAAATTGTCATATGTAAAGAACTGCAAATGGCCAGAATAGCAATAGCACTTAGACTTATATACCACTTTAGTGCTTTACAACCCTCTCTAAATGGTTTACTGAGTCAGCATATTGCCCCCAACAATTTGGGTCCTCATTTTACCCACCTCGGAAGGATGGGAGGCTGAGTCAACCTTGAGCCTCGTGGAATTTGAACTGCCAAATTGTAGGCAGCTGGCTGCAGAAGTAGCTTGCAATAATAGAATGCAACAACTGAGATAAAATATTGTCCAATGTTCTTCAAAATATTTAATATAAGTTAAAGTACTCATACTGCAAATAATTCCAGCATCATGATCATATACAGTATGGTTGGGGATTAAGCTGTAAGTTCTAGCTTTGTTAACTTTCCCCAATTAAGCATTACCTCAATTTCAACCATCTCTAACTCTGTAAAATCTGGAGATATTTCCCCCCCATACTTCAAGGAAAGAGAACTGTTGATGACCTGCCCTTTAAAATACAGAAGTTTGGGAAAGCAAATTTCCACAAAAGTTCTCACAAAAGAAAGCCAAAATGGAGAAATCATATGTGGAAAACTAAGCAGCCTTATGATTGAATAGCTCCTAAAACCACTTTTAGCAGAAATAACTTTTAAATAATTGTTTTCTGTATGACTATCAGTCTCCCATCATTATGTTTTATTTTGTTCTCTTGGGTACCTGATCATTATGGATCTCGGAGTCCTAGTGTACAACCATTTAAATATGAGCCAGAAATGTGCATTAACTGCCAAAAAAGCCAACACAGTTCTAGGCTGCATAAACAGAGGGATAGAATCAAGATCACATGAAGTGTTAATATCACTTTATAATGCCTTGGTAAGGCCACACTTGGAATACTGCATTCAGTTTTGGTTGCCAGTGTATAAAAGATGTTGAGACTCTAGAAAGAGTGCAGAGAAGAGCAACAAAGATATTAGGGAACTGGAGGCTAAAACATGGTTGCAGGAATTGGATATATCTAGTCTAATGAAAAGGTCAGCGGAGACATGAAAGCAATAGCACTTAGATTTATATACTGCTTCACAGTGTTTTACAGCCCACACTAAACAGTTTATAGAGATAGCATACCTCTACCAACAATCTGGGTCCTCATTTTACCAACCTCGGAAGGATGCAAGGCTGAGTCAACCTTGAGTTGCTCAGAATTGAACTCGAGTGAGCAGTGAGTTAAGACTGCAGTACTGCATTCTAACCACTGTGCCACCACAGCTCTTGGTGTCGCCTAACTTTAACTGTCAGACACCTGGCCTCACATTTAACTCTAGAATACTTGGTAGGCAGAGGAGTTCATGGTCAACTCAATGACTGCAAAGTGTCCAATGTCAACTCGTAAAGCATTCCTATGCCCATTTTTGAGTGGCCATAAGCAGGAGGGGGAGGAAATTTGGATTCTTTTGAAGCTTGGCTCGAGGCTCATTTAATTAGGGCAATCGCTGGAACCTTGACATCCGGGTCCAGTGACTGCAAAACAAGCCCAAATCAAATCCCCTCCACCATGCTTGATGATTGATATATTTGTGCTGATATGCTGTTTGGTTTTTGCCAATCATGGCACTGTACATTATGGCCAAAAATCTCCACTTTGGTCTCATCTGTCAAAGGTTAGTGTTCCAGAAATCTTGTGATTTGCTCAGATGTAATTTTTCAAACTTAAGTCGAGCTGCCATATTCTTTTTAGAGAAAGGGCTTTCATCAGGCAACCCTTCCAAACAAACCATGCTTGTTTGGTCTTTTTCTAATTGCACTGTCATGAACTTAACATTTAACATGCCAATTGAGGCTTGTAAAGTCTGAGGGTTTTTTGCAATTACTCTGAGCATTGCAGGGCCTGACCTTGGGGTGAATTTGCCGAGAATCCACTCCTGGGAAGATTGGCAACATTCTTGAATGTTTTTTACTTCTAAATAAACTTCCTCACTGTAGAATGGTGGACTTTAAGTTGTTTGGAAATGGTCTTATAACCCTTCCCAGATTGATGGGCTGCAGCAATTGCTTCTCTAAGCTCATTGCTTATGTCTTTACTCATTGGCATTGTGTTAAATGTACACCTGGAGTCCTGATTTCTTATGCTTGACACTTGGATGCCTCTTCCCCCTCCTTTTCAAGGAATCCCATTCACCTCCTATGAAGCTGGCTATTACAACTCTTAATTCATTTTGAAACTGTAAGACAGTATAACACAAGTGTAAAGACAACTCCAGTCACCCAATTAGCACTGTTGATGGTTTAAATTATATTATCATACAAGTTCTTTTCACTGTGTTATCACTAGATATTGCTCCTATTTTCAGTAGAACTGAGATAATTAACTTAATTCTTTGGTGTGTTTCCAATTCTGTGCTATTTATGACACTAAGTTTTGAGAACTGAAGTAGAAACTGTGTAGCAGTGTTGATCTGGATAAACACCAGGGGGGCATTAAGGCTTGGAAAAAAAGAGACCACCAATTTAAATTTCATTATCTGTATTTCAGTAAAACCTACTTGAATACACTTTGAAACAAGAGTACAACAAAATAGAATATACTTTAAATGTTGAATATACAAACTATTATAGTTCATTCTGAACACTGGTACTTTCCTCTAACCAACTAAAAATATACAGGCTTTTAATCTACCTGACAAAAGTTCATGCCAAGCATGACCTTTCAAGTGACCGAGTAAAAGCTGAAATTGAAATGTGTGCAGATGTCCAGGCGAAGTGGGTGATCCAAGCCGCAAGAGGCTGAACCTCTGGCCACTTTGACCCCAATTAAGAAACCAACAGACTTGACTACCATACAAAATATGTTACATGTAATTCTATAACAATACTGTGCTAGGTATAAGATTTTTTTAAAAAAATTGTTTTAATAAAAAATGCTTTACACAAAGAAGCCTTTAGCTTATTTCAACAAAGGTAACTGAAAATCAGTCTAAGGCTTTTGTTTTAAAATCTGCTTAAGCTGCATGGGACAAAAAAATTTTTCTAAGTTCTTCAACTTCTTGAAAGAAGTTCTTTAATTCTTTCCTTGTTCACATTCAAGAATACCTAGTAGCAGAGTTTTTCACATAGCACCAGTTGAACACTGTGAGTACACAGTAGTAATTGCTGGTATGCATATTCAAATGCATCAAATGTGTTCTGTGTAACAATGAGCCTCTTCTAGATAGCCCCTCCATCTACATAAGCCAAGATCCTCACAGAACCAGTTTAGTGTTCCATGACTTAGTGTAACTGGTAATGCAGTGAGCCTCCTAAGTGCTCACCCGCTATTCCCTTCAGCTCCAGGAATTTTCTTTCTTCATCAGCTTAACCCTGATATACAAGAGGCAATTGTGTCAGTGTGTAGATCTAGTTCAGTTCCCACTGAAACATGGGACATTATTTTGCTTCCAGTAAATTTCTAATATATGCATAACTATTAACAATTTTTTTAAAAAACCAGTTCTTTCAACTTCTTGTGTCCAATTCCCTGGCTTCCTATGTATGTCAGTTTGCTTAATTCCACAATGGTCTCTGTAATTAATGTTCACAGTTGCTTTTTTTTTTTTTTTCATTTTTCGCATGTTACTATTCCTTCTGTTTTCACTTGTACAGGTAGGGCAATAGTGGAGGGTGTACTAACGACGACGACGTGAGTGACTGTTTTGGTTCCATCTGCTGGTTTCTCTTCTTGTACTAGTTGCAGGGTCTTGATCTCCCGTTCCTGCTTTAAAGCCACTGCTTCAGATTTGACCTCTGGACTTTTTATAACTGCACTAATTACCCTGGGTGGAGTATGGCTGCTTGCCTGCTGGGAGGGCATTGATAATCTCATCACTGGTGTCCCGTGGGCTAAAGATACTGGAGTAAGTGCTCTCACAGCCAGAGGTGTTCCAACTATGTTAATACTCCCTGTCCCTGGCAAACCAGTTTTTGTTTGCAACTGGCATTGTGCAAGTTGTGTAGCAGGGATGGTGATTATTTTTGTAGGCTGCATTGTGATTTTCTCTCCATTTTCAGCAGATGATGGCATCATTGTAGGGATTGTTTGGATAACTACCTTTGGGGTTGTTGCTGTTGTTGGACTTGTGCTGGTAATCAATGGTGACCCTGCATTTACTGACTGCACTGCAACAGTTGATATTTTCTGTCCCAGAGATGTCATTACAACAGGCACTTGCATAGCCACTCGAACAGTTCTGTTAAATAGATGAAGATAAATACTACATTAAGACCAACATTTGTGACACAGATACATGCTTTAACTAAACTAGACCTTTTTAATCAAAAAGAAACAATTTATTATATTTTACAAATTTGAAGTAAAGGTAATGGTTTCTTCCGCTACCCCAATTCCAAACTGAATTCTTTGAAGTTTCAGAACTTAATTTATCACTCCTTATTGCTACTAAAATAAGTTGATAATTCTAAGTAACAGAACAAAGGAAAGCAAAACACTTTCATTTTAGATTAGCCCAGCAGTTGTTTATCTTAAGTTGACAAATCCTTAGTATTATAAATTTGTAAAAGAAAGAAAGAAAGAAAGAAAGAAAGAAAGAAAGAAAGAAAGAAA